ATACTTTGGTAATAAATATATGCTTAGTTACACTTTTAAGGAATATGCTAAACACAAGCACACTATTAGTATATTTCTAAAAAGTATAGTAGAAATACTATGTTAATAAATATATTTTTAGTTACACTTTTAAGGGATATACTAAACACAAGCATACTTTTAGTGATTTTAGTGTATTTACAGAAAACTTACTTATGTTACCCTTACTTAAAGTATTGTGTGTGTGATTTATTCTTAAGCAATATTCTCATCAGTTTTCTATCAGCTGTGACATATAAATCTGCTTTTTTATATATATATTTTATCCAAGGGCTTTTTTTTTTTTACCTTTATAGAGGGCATTTTCCCACTAATCTCATTAATACTTTCATTTCAAATTCTAACATTTGATCTATAAGTGCCAGTAGTGAGCGTATAATGAGTGAGTCATTGAGTCGTTCATTCAAACGATTCGTTCAAACGGCAGGTTCATCAGATGCATGGGCTAATGAAACTTTGACTCAACCGATTTGTTCAAAACACGGAATCAATCAGCAATGAATCCGCCTAAAATGTAAGTGACCTAATATTATTGTATTTGCTTATTGAATTGTTTATAGAACGATTAAACAGTCGCAATGGTGAAAACGTTGTGTGATGTTGCCTAACTAACTGTATTTTAAATATAAAAATGTAGCCCCGGCCCAATTTAAACCCTGGTCATTTGTGTTTGTTATGTTTTTAATGTCTTGTGTGTACAATAAACAAAACAACTGTGGACAACACCTCTGTATTATTATGTGCTTTATAAATGAACTGGAACTGGAAATAGATTGTGATTGTGCGCAGGCAGCCCTTCACGGTGAACCCTTGAGAAGCATGGTGCAATTTAGCTTAGTGTCAGGGAAGAGCACATTCAATGCTTGACTCAGGGCAAATATTGTTATTTAGTGCAAATGAGCTCCATCTACGTCAGTGATTGAATTTGCATTTTAATTCAGCATGTCTGCCATTTTTGTTCGGTTTCAGATTCAGATTCAGAGATTCAGTCAGGACATATGAAAACACAGAAAATTAGGAGATCCACACTGGAGAGAAGCAGCACACGTGAAGTGTGGGAAGAGTTTTCACATATGTAAATGGTCTTCTCATTTTTGGGAAAGATGATGCTACAGTAGGTTAAAGAAGCAGTACAAGTCGACCAGCATGTTGTGAACAGAGCCCAACACAGGAAATTCCAATCCTCTTACTTCAGCCATAAAAGCCAGAGATGCTGTCAATGTGGCACTCTGCCTAGTTTCAAATAAAGGGACAGTTGTGGAGACAGCACAAACTAGATATTCTCAACAGAAGGAACCCCTCCAGCATTGTCAGTTTAGGCAGTTAACCCAAGATGAATGGGTCTGAAAACGAGTACATCTCATGGAAATTTGTGAGGAGAGGAAAACATGGTCACACCCCAAACTAAAATAAATGATTTCAAACTGGTTGAGTGACGATCTGAGTGAAGTGAATACAGACCCGTAATTGTCTGAAAACCTGTGAAAAGATATATGAGAGGGCTAATTTATAACACTGTTAATTGTTAAAATGAATTTTATTAATATAGGCATGCATATTGGTTGGCATCAGAGACATGGATCTTAAACTTAGTGTTGCATTGCTTTAGAAGTTACTTTGTATGCATGTTAAAGCTCATTTCATCAGTGTCAACAGTTGAGTGAGGCAAACTACACCATCACCATAAATCTCTTCATTATATTCTGATAAACCATGTAAAAACAACCTAAAACTAAAAGAGCAATGAACAAAAGCTCTACCACTTTGACGTACTATTTTTTGCATTTGCTTGCGGTTTAGATTTCTCCCAAGAAACTTTTGCGCTCCCTCTATTCGTTTTTTGTTCACTTGCAGAACTATTACAAGTGAATGCACAGTTTCTCAGGGAACATGTTTATACAAAAAAAAAAAAAAAAAAGCATTGTCCAAAGTTGTCAACTGAACAAAGTTTATCTTCAGGACCAGCGGTTTCAACTTTCATCCATAAGTTTGTTACAGAGTTGGTCTTTGCTCTTTCATACTAGAAGGCCTATATGGTGAACATTCAGGTTGATGTCAGAGTTCTGTTTGTTTGAATAATGTTAATGCTGCTTTCTGAACTCAGGTTTGCACCGTAGGACCGAAGCTGAGAGCATAAGTAAGATATGGTCTGAATTTGTTTACAATGTGTGGTGGAGGAGAACAAAGTCTGCAACAGATGTTGGGTGCATCTTAAATGGAAGGCTGCATATATCGACTGTAGGTTGCCACATCATAAACCTCCATCAAAGGACATCTAAATTTGAAGGTTACTTAGTAGGCAGTCTTCATTTTGCATTCTTAATTCAGCCTGTTTTAAAGGATGCATCAGGTGTATTTTTCGTGTCTTTCAATCCACAATTCACAACAACAACAACAAAAAAGCTGAAAATGATTTGACACTTAGCTTATTCAGTTTCATTATATTATGCAAGACCAAAAATAAATAAATGAATTAATTAATTAATAAAATTGGCATGAAGTAAATGAATCACATAATGCTAAACTGCTTAATGTAAACAACTAGTAGACCATTGGTTGTCATTACCTGTACTGCATTAACAGAAAGATACAGTTCATGTAAAACATTTCAATATAAAGTGTCTTCAAATTATAATTTAAGTAGCCTATTCCCGCTCCCTGACCGCGGGGGAGAAAACATAAACGTAGACATTTGCACTTACTAGACACTAGAACGTCTTATTCTAGCGTTTAATGCTGAGCAGGACTTTAGCCTTGAAGCCTCAGAAGGACTGGTCTATGAAGAACGTGTCATCACGAGCATCCAGCTTTCAGTTTGACAAGCACCCATATTATTTTTCTTTCTGTTGGTGGCGGTAATGCACCTGCAACCGCGAATGAACATAAGAAGAAGAAGAAGCAGAAGAAGAAGAAGAAGAAGAAACAGTCTCCACGCACTGTGCCCTTATTCACTCGCTTAGCAGCGGTGAATCTTCTGAGGTGAGGAGAGCTTTTATTTATACAATCATAAAAACACAATATGAGTAACATTTTCGAAGCCATTTGTGTACTGTTTTCTTCGGATATAGCGCCATTCGTGGGTCTTTTCTGGTGTCTGCTGACTATATAAACATAGGGGGTATAAACAATTGGGAGGAATGTTAAGACCTGCAGTGATTCGAATTATTGTTTGGATGTTTGATTTTATTCCCGTTTTTCTCGTATTCCCTTTTTTTAAATTAACTTTTGCAAAATAAATGTATTTAAGTTAGGTACTTTACATCCTTAAAATTAATGTATTGTAAGGGTTGATTCTAAAATACTTTATATTGAGCCTGTGTGAGGACTTTTTAAATTTATTACAAGAGGTGGGTAGTTGACAGATATGCAGTAAAACAACAACACATATTTATGTGTGAAGTCTGATGTTTGAGAAAATATAATGGGCCACTAAATTCGTCAATTCTTTCACTGTGCTATTAATTTGTCATGGTGTGACATTAAAATTGAGTTTTAAAAGAGAATTATATTCACTGTTAGACACTTACATTTCATAAAGTGTTATTTATTTAATATTAAATTATGAATAACATTATTTGTTACCCATGACTTGTTGGACATTTTGAAAACAAACTTTGACAACGAAACAAACTTTGCTGTCATCCTTTTGCCATTTTAAGGTGAGTGATGATTATATCCCCTAAAGCAATTCTTTAAAGCTGTTTTTTTTTTTAAAGATATTTGAAAAACAAACCTGTGGTTCTTTTATGTGTGTCACATCATATGACGTTACGTCACACTAAAGGACAGAAATGGTAGTTATTGCTTTAAAGAAAAAGTGAGAAGTATTTTTATTTAACTTTGAATGTCAAAGATGAAAGAAAATTAAATTTTGATGCAAACAATATCAAAATGTTTAAACTAAATTAAAAATATTATTATCAATAAAATTAATTAATTCAGTCACTCAGTCAATTAGTATGTTACTGAAACTCTTCTATATATATATATATATATATATGTACACACACACATACATAAAATGTAGGAGTTTCTATGCTTTTAGAAATATATGGATGAAAAAATATGATTGCCATTTACTAAATATAGACACATGTAAAATTATGTCTGAGGTATTTATTAACATTTTTATGTTTTTCTTTTTAATTTCTAAAAGTTGTAATTCATTAAACCATGCTTGAGACAAAGTGAAAGGATGTTAGAGAAACATTATTAATTTTCAATTGTCATAACAAGGTTATGTGAAGAAAGCTAATACTAATAAATAGTTAATTTAAAATTAGTTAATTAAAAAAGATTTAGCTAAATAAATTAGCCTAAATGTTCAAGATATTAAGTCAAAGTTATGGCACTATTAGTCTCGCGTAACCAGACCTACAGACTGACGGCAGAACGTCTGGGAACCATGGCCTCTTTGAATGGCCAATGACTGCCCAAGAGGCCATATGACTGACAGATAAGCAACCAATCATGACTCGTCGTATTTTAAAAGACGTATTTTAAAGAATCTGTGCTGTAAACTTTACATGTTTCACGTACAGGGATTTTCCTGCATAGAGAAATGTGAAGCGGTCGTCTCTGTCAAATTTTGTCCTGCTTCTGGCTGTCGACAAACTCAAACAGACAGTCGCGTGCAGTTTCACTTCACAGCATCCATTAGGGCTGCACGATTAATCAAATGCGATTGTCATGTCATGTGCATCTTGTCAGTAAAGCCAGTTCTGTGATCAGTAGTAAATCTCCATTATGTGCTTTCAGATGGAGCAACTTTTACAACACAGAGCCGTAGTTCACTGACAAACTATTAGGGCTGCATGATAAATCGAAATGTAATCGCAATCGAGATTAGGCAAAAGCTGCGATTGTGATGCGCATCTTGTCAGTGAAGCACAGTTCTGTGATCAGTAGTAAATCTCGATCCGAAGGCCAGAGGGTGCTCTCGTGCTGAAACTCCAAATACACCCCGCAGAAGGAATCGAGGAAATGTAGCTGAATAAACAGAAGATTTAACTGCTTTCATTGATTCAATATGACTAATGAACAAACGACTTCAACAATATATGGTTTATCTAAGTTTGTCTTATTATAATGTTCATTATATGGCGTTATTTTAATGACAAATGTCGAGAGCGCATTATTGTAGCGCGAAAGCACATTAATACAATGCGCGAGCGCGGATCTCTCCGCTCGCGCGCGGATTTCCTTTGCTCTCGCACAAAACCGGACGCGTGCGCTCAGATAGACACTGCTCAAAAAAAAAAATCAAGGAAAGGCCCTGCACAAATCTGTTTTGAGACTACTTTTTAAAAGTGCATAATTATAACCTTTGACAATGTTTAATTCAGGTGCGAAAGGAATTAATATCTATAGCGCATGAGCACAGAGAGATTTGAGAGTGCACAGGACACAGTTTGAGTGAGAGGAGACATGTTTTAAGTGCGCGCACTCTCTCCGGGCGAGAGCAGCGTCTATCTGAGCGCACGCGTCCGGTTTTGTGCGAGAGCAAAGGAAATCCACGCTCGCGCATTGTATTAATGTGCTTTCGCACTACAATAATGCGCTCTCGACATTTGTCATTAAAATAACGCCATATCATTATAATAAAGTATATAGTAATGCAATGCTAATCGACATAACACTCGACTGACGTTATGAGTGAGATTGGAGTAAAAACGTGATTAAATGTGATATTTTCACTGGTCAGATGGAGCAGCATTTACTATACAGACAGAGCTGTAGTTCACTGAGAAGTTACACAAACAGCTTTCATAATCGAAGATCGATTTCTTCGATTTCATAATCGCATGATTAAATCGTCTGCTTTTTTTTTTTGTCAGTGAACTACGGCTCTGTGTAATAAATGTTGCTCCATCTTAAAGCAGGTGATGGAGATTTACTACTAATCACAGAACCAGCTTTACTGACAAGATGTGCATGACAATCACATTCGATTAATCGTGCAGCCCTACAAGCTATGCAAAACTGCGTTCATAATTGCAGACCGATTTAATCGTGCGATTATGAAAGGAAGAAATCGTTCTGCGATTATAAAAGATGTTTGCGTAGCTTGTCAGTGAACTATGGCTCTGTGTAGTAAATGCTACTCCATCTGAAAGCAGTGAAAATACCACATTTATTAACATGTTTTTACTCCAAACTCACTCATAACGTCAATCGAGTGTTTGAAATAAACCCCTCTGTGAGATGATGTGGCTTCTTACACAGAATAAGGCATGCAACATATTTCATAGTATTCTAAGCACCGTAGGGCTGCACGATATATCGTTTCAGCATCGATATTGTGATGTGCGCATCCGCCATAGTCACATCGCGGGATGTGCAATGTTTAGTATACTGATCGTTATATTTATACTGATTGTTTTCTTTGAACATACAGACATATGTCTACACCGGACGTGACACGCCCCGCGCCGCAACAGCTAAAGTCTGTCTACACTAGTTCTTCATGAAACTCGGCAGCAGTTTACTGTCGGGGATTTCTCGTGTCGTGCCACACCGCATCTAGTGTAGACAGCATTATAATGGGTTCTATAGTATTTTGTTGCTTCGCGCTGCGCTGCTCGTGTCTGGTTTACGCAGATGCAGCACGCGAACACCGAATTCCGTTCACTTCCGCGTCTGTTTGTGCCTGAAATGACACATACGCGCGAAATTGTCAAAATGCATATCTCTGCAAGTATCCTTGTAAACACAGTTGCTTATGGTTTAGGTAAAGGAAAGGTAAACAGTGACAAAGAAAATGGATGTGTAACAGTATATTGGTTCACAGCAGTTTAATGTTCCTGAAGCTTTCTGTGTCATGAATGTTAATCAAACAACAAAACAGAGAAAAATCACTTTTGTAACTTTAACATATTTATTAGATTTAATTTATACAGTGAAGACTATGTAGTGTTATTTTTCATTGGATTATTAAGTTTCTGTACCTGAATACTATTAGACTTACCTGAAAAATATAAAGCACTGTTTATTTCCTTTGTATCTTTGTTCTATTATATTTATCTATGCTTGTAATTCATTTATTTTCTATGCTGATTTACTCACCTACAAAATCACCCCAATCGTTGATAATTTTTTTCCCCAAATAGAGCTATTCAAGTCATCTAGTTTTTTGTCTTCATATCGCAATATATATCGCACAAAAACAAAATATCGCAGTGTGAGTTTTTTTTCCAATATCATGCAGTCCTACTAAGCAGTGATAAAGGCTATGTCGATTAGCATTGCATTATGATATACTTTATTATGATGAAAATTATAATAAGACGAACTCGGATAAACCATATATTGTTTTAGTCGTGTGTTTATTAGTCACGTTGAATCAATGAAAGCAGTTAAATCTTCTGTTTATTCAGCAACCGCTATAGGGATTTCCTGGATTTCTTGTGCAGGGCGTATTTGGAGTTTCAGCACGAAAGCGCCCTCTGACCTTCGGATGAAGATTTACTACTGATCACAGAACCGTGCTTCACTGAAAGATGCGCATGACAATCGCAGCTTTTGCCTAATTGCAATTGCAATTTCATTTTGATTAATTGTGCAGCCCTAGCGTCCATTAGGGCTTTTAGTCCAAAAGTGCACATACTTGGAGAAATATTGACTCATTTACTTAATATTAGAGATTTTGGGTATTTTCATAACAATAGAGAGTGTTTACATGAGAAATGCTAAGCAGTTAGAGCGATTAGCTGGATACTAAAGGCCACAAATAAAATATTTCAACATTGTATGACCACATTAGATTGCAACCATAAGTTATTACTAGTGTTGTCAAAATTAGCTCATTAACGCAGGCGATTCATTTTTTCAGTTTAACGCGTTAAAAATATTTAACGCCGTTAATGCAGGGGTTGGTCACTGCACTCACAGCTGTTGTTTCTGTCTCTTTTTTTCCTTGAGAAAAAATACAGTTATTTAGTCGCAAAACATCTTTACGAGCACATCAAATGGGAGACATTTCAGACACGCACTCCAACTTAACTTCAGCACCAGGCACGAGTCAAACAAGCGCGGAAACAGTACTGTGCTCACAGCATGTGCCACCGCACGCTGTAGCCTGTATCATTTCATATCAAAGCGCGAAATAAACTGTGCATGCAATGTTGTGGTCAGTTAAGTTATGAAGTTACCAAAAAGGCGATTAAAGCTGCCTTAAAACTGTGAATGCATGTAATATATCATGCATGCACATAGAGCAGCCAGCACCCTCATCTAAGACTCGACTCAACTCGTCAGTTCATTAGTAGAGACTTTAAGACCTGTAGTGGGTCAGAAAAGGTAAAGAGAATTGAGTGAAAATACAATGCGTGTCAGATCTGCATCATGTTCAGCAGCGACAGCTCTTAAAGAAATAGCAGTCAAAACAACCTAATAACCAGCTGCTGTGATGTCTGTTAATCAAAGGCGGGAAAAAGAGGAAATCAATAACTTTTATAGCTTTAATTAAGGATTCATCTATATTTAATTTAGAATTTAGTGTTTGATAACTTCAGTTTCAATTCTGCTGAAGGGCACAGGTAAATATGACATTTATTATAATGGGTTTATGTGAAGATTGTTTTAAATGAACTTAAATTAAAGTTATTTTTTAAAGTCTAATAAATGTTAAAATTGATAGCTCTCAATTATACTGTAATGTTGAATGGCTAGTCAATAGTTAAAAATTAGGAGGGAAAACAATTTTATAGAGACATCAGTAGTATCGGTATCAGAGACTGGCCTTCATTCATAAAAAAAGATTCCATTAAACAAATATACTTTGTTGTTTGTACATTAATTTGAAGATTGAATGTGAAATTATTGCAATATAAAAGTGTATTTTTAAAACTTTAATGTTAGGTGGGATTAATCGCGATTCATTTCAGAAAAAAAATAAAAACAATTTTTTTTTATTTTTATCGATTTACAGCACTAGTTATTACACACACTTGATGGTGGTTTAAAGTGAATTTTGAGTAAAAGCATAGTGTGAATCTCATAAATTGTCTAATGTAGCATGATGCTAATTGTAGCTCTAATGCATCAGTTACCCTGCTTTCACTATATTTTATGAAGTAAGAAAATGTTTTGTTTGGGCCAGGAGACATTGTTACCAGTGTTTTATTTATTTATTTATTTATTTTTTGACAACACTACTACACTGAGGCAAAGGGATAAGAACACTTCTCTCGCAAGGTTCACCTGTCTTCGAATGCTGCGTTCAAGTCCTCCTGGGACGTTCGTACTTACGAGTTGACAAGTCGTAATTACGACGTCAGGTGCGTTCAAGTCAGTTTAGTCGGCACAAGATGGCGGTGTACCTTCTTTTAATAAATTACAAGAAAATACAACAGGGTCTACATTTTTTTACTTGGATTTCAGATGCTTAACAAGAACATGACCAATTTAAATTTATAGGACAACTAAACTATCAATTTAAACAAAAATTTACCGTCAACTACAGACGTTGCATCCATCGATTTCTGCCATGTTTCTCATTGACACGCCCCCAACTCGGAAACTCGGGGCTTAAAGAAAATTTCAAGTTTCCCACTCGTAATAACGACTTTGTGGTGGCGTTCATGTGCATTCAACTCGTAAATACGATCTATCCGACATGACTTGAACGCACCATAAAAAACAACTGTCTCAGCTCCTGCAGCCTTATTCTCACTCAAATTCAAGACCAAACCTATTTTCCTTTTGATAGAGGGCAGTGCTAACATGGGAGGACCAATGCTTCCAGACAAATAAAAAAAAACATTTGTTTTACAGGAAAATGAGTTTTGCAAAACTTTCTTCCTACTGACAGCATGTCATTATAACTGTGAAATGTTGTCATGATATTATGAATTATCAGTAAATCTTTGTTGCCCCCCTCCCTGAGGGCCTCTGTTACTTTGTTCCACTGTTACCCCTTGTTCCGACGCCCCTGACTTTGATGAATGTTTATTATGATTATGGTAAGAGACTATATGAGAGAGCAGAAGTTGTAACAAATGTTACGTATGCATAAACGAAACAAACATTTGTCAAATGCAGAATTTGTTCATTGTCCAGAAGTAATGATAAAAAAAATAAAATGCACTTCATGTTACTTTAGATTTGAGAATAATAAAGATGGAGTGAAGTTAAATTATTTGGCTATTAAACTTCTCCATCTTTTTTCAGTGGGAGGCGGTAAAGCACCTAAAGCTGGTCTGCCAACTGCCAATAAACAGAAGAGAATAAGACGACGTCACCACTAGCGCCCTCACACTCACTTTTTCTCAGCGTTGAGTCTTCTGAGGTAAGTTGAGCTGTTCAATCACTGTGTTTCGTATTGTATTTCTACAATCCAAACACGACTATTTAAGTAACATGTTTGAGGTCATTTCTTTATTGTTTTCCCTTCGAGTAAACCACCATTTGTGTCTTTTCTGGCATCTGCTCACTGAAACAACAGTGTGAGGATCTAATGTTAAATTCACTAATGAGCGTCTTTGTGTTTTTGTGCTGGTATGAATTATAGTTTCGGTGTTTGGAATGATAATATGACTTTCAAACCTGGATTTGGGAATTTCATATTTTATTATTTTGCGTTTGACATGTACGTTTGTGTAATAAGTCAGTTTTAGTTACTTTACGTTGTTAAAGTAAAATATGTATTGGAAGGGTTAGTGCTAAAATATTTCATATTGAGTCTGCAAATTAAATAAGACTTTTTAAATCCATCACAAGCTGGAAACATTAAAATAACGCCCTGTCAATGCTCTTTTGTGTGAACTACTTGTGAATGTTATTAGAAAAGCGAGCTATATTCATAATGATATATTACTACTATATGGACGATGTTTAGCTTAAATATTGTACTGTACTATTTTTACAACTACTGTAAAGATGGGTGCCATTTGTATTTGTTTTGATGTTTTATTGATGTCTTACTCATCTCAGTTTGTGAGGAATAATAGTTTAACAGTATAATAATAGGAATTTTAAACACTTTTGGCATATATTTCCTGTCTCAAATAGTCTGTTTCTACCACAAACACTTAAAGGGATATTTCACCCAAAAATGAAATTACCTGATGACTTTTTATATTTAATTTTAGACCTGGTGGAGGAGAAAGAGGAAGGTAAATAACCAAATTAGGTGGAAGAGAAACATCATCATGTCAAAACTGAAGAAATCGTTTCGTTGCTCACTGAAAAGAAGAGCCAAAGAATCTTTCACCTGCCCTCGGTGTGGAAAGAGTTTCCCATCCAAAAAAAGTCTTAAACCTCACATGAAAATCCACACTGGAGAGAAACCGCACACATGTGATCAGTGCAGGAAGAGTTTTGCACGAGCAAACGCGCTTAAATTACATCTGCATTCTCATTCTGGAGAAAGACCGTTTAACTCTGATCAATGCGGCAAAAAAAATCTTAGGCCAGAAAACCTGAAGAGGCACCTGAAAGTTCATACAAAGAAGAAGCTTCACGTGTGTTCTCTGTGTGGAAAGAGTTTTACTCGGCTGGATAATTTAAAATTACACTGGAAAAGACACAACGGTGTGAAGGATCACATGTGCTTTGATTGTGGGAGGAGCTTTACTAGATCTGATGCATTGAAAGGGCACCAAAGAGTTCACACTGGAGAAAAACCTTACAAGTGTTCACACTGTGACAAGAGATTCAGTCAGACTGGGACTCTGAAAATACATGTGAGGACCCACACTGGAGAGAAGCCTTACAAATGTGATCAATGTGGTACATTTTTTACACAAAAAGGAAGCTTTAATGATCACCTGAAAATCCACACTGGAGAGAAGCCGCACACATGTGATCAGTGCGGGAAGAGTTTTGCACAAACAAAAACTCTTAAATTACATCTGCGTTCTCATTCTGGAGAAAGACCATATAACTGTGATCAGTGTGGCAAAAAATTTCTTAGGGCACAAAACCTGAAGAGGCACCTGAATGTTCATACAAAGCAGAAACCTTGCATTTGTTTGTGTGGAAAGAGTTTTTCTCGAATGGATTATTTAAAATTACACCAGAGAAGTCACAGCGGTGCAAAGGATCATATGTGCTTTGATTGTGGAAACACTTATACAACAGCAGCTGTGTTGAATCGGCACCAGAGAATTCACACTGGAGAAAAACCTTACAAGTGTTCACACTGTGACATGAGATTCAGTCAGACTGGAAATCTGAAGAATCATGAGATGATCCACACTGGAGAGAAGCCGCACATGTGTGATCAGTGCGGGAAGAGTTTTACACTAAAAGGAGCCCTTAAGTCACACATGAAAATCCACACTGGAGAGAAACCATACTCATGTGATCAGTGCGGGAAGAGTTTCGCACATGCATACACTCTTAAAATACATCTGCGTTCTCACTCTGGAGAAAGACCATATAACTGTGATCAATGTGGTAAAAAATTTCCTAGGGCAGAACACCTGAAGGTCCACCTGAAAGTCCATACAAAGGAGAAGCCTTACATGTGTTCTTCATGTGGAAAGAGTTTTAGTCAGCTGGGTAATTTAAAAATTCACCAGAAAAGACACAGTGGTGTGAAGGATCACATGTGCTTTGAATGTGGGAAGACCTTTACTGCAGCTGTGACATTGAGAAAGCACCAGAGATTTCACACTGGAGAAAAACACATGAGAAGGCCCAAAGTGGAGAGAAGCCTTTTACATGTGATCAGTGTGGGAAAAGTTTCACTCAGTTAGGATCGCTACACCGTCATACTAAAAACAGCTGTCTGAAATTAAAGTAGTTCAAGCTCATTTAAAGTGTGTTGCTACGTCCTCACCAAATATGACCCAATAACACATTGAGTAATAAAAGCTCGTTTTCATATAAATCTGTCCCAACCAGCCTCATTAAAACATCATTAGTATATAAGATGTTACAGTGAACAAAGTTAATCTTTAAAACCAGCTTCAAGAAATATTTATAAAAATGTTTTCTGCAGGAAAGCTGATGTTTTTTTTTGGTTTGGACTAAAGCTGAATGTAATTATTGTGGACAGAGTTTCACATGAACATAATGTCTGAAAACTCATCTGTATTTTCTCTCTGGTCTTTCATCAGATTTTTGTAGTCGCTTAAGCAACTAATTTATTAAATCAATTTCTTATTTTATTATCAACTTTTGATTGTTTATTTTTTTATTGCTAGCTGATTCTTCTTTCATCGAAAACAGTCTCGTAATATTTGTATTTGAAAGCCATGAAGCACCACGATTGTTTTTTGAGCTTTTAACCCAGGGGTATATGCCCCCCCCCCAATCAGCACTGACCCCCACCTCTTGCGGCGATGATGTCATCGACGCTATCCTGCACATAAGTCTTCTTAGGTGAGCTGAGCAATTCACAAAGTTTCATATATTTACCATAAAATACAGTTTAACTAACATTTTCAGCATCATTGCTTTAATGTTTTCTGGTGTCTGATGATTGAAAAAAACAAGGTGAAAATGTGTCATCATTGCCAGTTTCACATTGAAAAGAGAAAGAATTTAATAATCTTAATTTCTTTATTGATAGTTATTAGAAAATTGAACCACATTTCATAAGAAAATATTATGCTGTTGTATGGTAATTGTAGCATTTAATAAAACTGTTTTCGATGATGGTGGTTTTTTGCTGATGATCCTGCGTAAGGTTTGTTTAAGGATTGAGAGTATTAACAGAGCTGCTAAAAAGCTTCGATAGTTCCTGTTTTTACCTCATTGATTATGCTGATGTGTTTTAATCACCTGTAATCTGCCACTTTAAAGGGGTCATATGACGTTGCTAAAAAGAACATTATTTTGTGTATTTGGTGTAATGCAATGTGTTTATGCGTGTCACGAATCCGGTCCGTGGTCTACCGTCTGCTCGCCACCAGAGGTCGCCTTCTGATTACATTGACTCTCACACCACACAAACTGTTGCACGTCACCCTGGACTACATTTCCCATGCTCCATTGCACTGATTGGACTCACCTGCAGCCAATCACACACACTATATAACAACCACTCAAATCCTTCTCTAATCGCAGAGTATTGTCTGCGTTTACCACTCTCCTAGTGATAGCAACTTTACGGAGCCATTCAGTGTTTCCGGAGTTTAGTTCCAGTCAGTCCTGTTAGTTTCCTGGTTAACCTGTGTCTTGATTCTAGCCTGGTTTACCTCATCCTGTCTGATCTCTGCCTGCCCTGGAATTATCGCCTGTCTGTTGGATTACCCGTTTGCCTTGCCCCCTGGATCATGTTCGCCGCCAATCGACCCCTGTCTGTTTACTGGACTGCTCGTATGTCTTGCCTGTACCATACCTGTTTGCTGGTGTTCGACCCTGCCTGTGTTTTGACCATGTATATGAATAAAAGCTTGCATATGGATCAGCACGCCTCTCGTCTTGTTCGCCCTGTTACAATGCGGTTTAAGGTTCAAAAAACACATTATTTTCCACATAATGCACATAATCGAAACACGTTGATTTTTACAAAGCTCATCGTTCTGAAAAGCGAGGTGTACGCTGATTGGCCAGCTATCCAGTGCGTTGTGATTGGCCGAATGCCTCAAGCGTGTGATGGAAATGTTACGCCCCTTACCATACTGTGATGCTGTGTCCCAGTGCGACAAGACAAAAACAATAAAACCCATTATAAACGAGGCATTTGTTGCATCCTGTGGGGACATAATTACTGATTATAATGACTTATACTGTCTTTTTACGCATTGCG